GAGAAAGAATTTCAAGAAAAAGGTAACATTAAGAAAATGAGTTTAATTTACATAAATAAAATAGCATAATTTTCGACAGTTATAGGTTTTTGTCATTTATAACTTACTTAATTTTCAAATTTTGACTTAATATAAAATTTAACTAATATATTCCAAACGATTAAAAATGGAGAAAGAATTAATTGAATAGTACAAACTTTCTTCCATCAAATATACCGACCAACACTAAGATGTTTGTTTTACATTTGATCTCGATATTAAAAAATAATGTTTTTATATTTAATCTCTTAAAATATGTAAACCAAGGATTTTCCAACACATGTTTATAGTGTTTGAAATGACGTGGAATATTAAGGTACAATTTTTTGTTATCCAAAAAAAGAAGGTTGATCCTTATAACTGTTTTACACTGTTAGATTCCCTTATGCTTGTGTCCCATATAAAAAATTTCACAAGCTTGTGCTAAGACAAAAATGGTGAGGCCCCACCCACTCTTATGGCCAAACATTTTTTATAAACGGTACTTGTTCAATTAATTCCTTCACATATTTTACCCATTTCTGAGTATGTTGAAGATGAGGAGGAATACAGTAAAAAATTCTTTAATACTTAAGTGGGTCTAAAAATGAGTAATTATGACTAGAAATTGTGGGATAATTAGTTCCTATTTTATTGAATATATATCAATTTTTTTGGATGATTTTAAATATATCGGATAATATCAAATATATTGATTATTTTTGTTGTATTTCATATTTTCGAGTCAAGTACTATCAACATATTTTAACATCTATCTATTAAAAAAAGTTATTTCAATAAAAAAACTTACTATTAAACATGAAAATATATAATTAATATGAAAAAAATTAAAATTAAAGATAATTTATAAACATTTATTTTTAATTCATTCTTATTACGATGAAATTAAATTATAAAATAATAATAATAATAAATTGAATGGAGAGAAATTTTTATATCTAGATAGAATAAATATATTATAAATATTTTATATTAAAAATAATAACATTATTTTTAATTTAAAATCTTAAATTAATAAATTTTAAAAAATATTAATAAATTGTGAATATAAAATTAATTTGAATAAAAAGGAAAATATTATTTTATTATATATATATATATATATTAATTAATTAACTGCAATGTCATTATATGTATTGATAAAGGAAAAGGAGAAATATACAAAATAAATAATAAATGTTGAGAAATTATAAAATTCATTTTATTTGTTTCTGAATCTCATGTTAGATGCGCGCATACTCACTCTTCGTTTGTTTTCGTTGAAAGATGGTGGAAACAAAAACGTGAAAATGAGTCAGAGTGTACGGATTTGGTTAAAACGAAAGACGTAAAAAGCACACAAAATAAATAAATAAATAAATAAATAAAAATGTAAATTTCCTCACAAACTTTATATGAAGAATGTGAAAAGTGAAAAGATTACGGTATAACCAATTATATTATATATTTTATCATAATGCACGTAACAAATAATTAATAATCATCTTCAGCATCTTCAAATAGAGTTTTTAATCAGAGTTATTTAAGATATGCTCTTATGTAGATTTTTTTATTTTTTTCAAATATAACAAATGAATATAATAATAACAATAATATATAAATAATAAAAAATTAAATAATATTATAATAAAAACACTTTCTTATCATTTCTCTTCGTGTTTTCAATCAAACTACACTACTCTTCTTCTTCTTCTTTTTCTCTTCAATTTTTTCCTTATTTTTCTTCTTACCATCTAACATAAAATTTGTTGAGAATTTAATAAGAATATATTAATTATTTACATAGATCAATATTTTTATAAGTAAATTTCATTTGAAATCGTACAAAAGAAAAAATTAAGTTAAACTTCATGTGTTATATTATATATATATATATATATATATATATATATATATATATATATATGTATGTATGTATGTATATACGAACTAATATGGAGTAATTCATATAATAATATTATAAATCTTATCTTAATTTACTCTTTAACGTAACACATTATTTTTACGACATAAGATTTCCTTATTATTTTAATAATTATTTAGTTAGATTTTAAAATTTTCGGAGTTTATTAATTGTTTCTATATATTTTTTTTTTGCTAGTTTTTTTTTATTCAAATCTCAGCTAATTTAATAAATGACTTTTGAATATTTATTGTATATCTCTTATATTTTAAACTTATATACTAATTATAACTTTTTACTTAATTCTATCACTTTAAAAATTTCCTTTCTAAACACGTTATTTAGATTTCTTTACGTATTTTTTTTATTAGTTATTTGTAACTTTATTTATAACTTTAAAAATATCAATGATAGCCATGTTAAAAATATTTTAATCTGTTCAGTGTAATGTACGTGAGTTGTTTTTAACTAGACATGCATATTAATTTAATCCCCTTTCTTGAAAAAATTAAAATGAATACAAATATTTATTGAGTTTTTTATAAAAATTAGTTAAGTAAATTGTTCACTCCATAAAGGTAAAGGGCAAACTATTTTGACTTATTCATAACATTGACTGAGATTATCTCTTCCCATGAGCTAACAAGAAGAATGAGTTTTGCAGTAAGATGTGATAATATGTTGGATTAAGTTTGAAGGTGAGTGAAGAATGAAAAGAGGTTATTTAAGAGGTGGTGTGAGCTTCCTTAGCTGGTCACTATATTCTTCCTTACATATGAAGACCACACACACATGTATGCATCATTCAGCTGTGCTTTTGTTAGTCTGATTCCCCATCATCAACACGTGCATTCTGCTCCACGACATGCTTGCATCCCATTCTCACTTTATATTCCATTCGGATCTAAAACTATCTGTTTCTGATCCACCATTCCACCGCACTGCAGCCTAACTAGCTAACACAACAGGATAACGATATGTTTAGGGTGAAAAGGAACCAAAGTGAGGTGTTAGTTTCTCGAGAAGAAATGAAGTGTCGGTTGTTGAGAATAGATTAATTAATCAAGTGAAGTGAGTGAGTGCAGTTTATTGTCCTCTAGTTGCCGAGTTTATAATTAGCTGTGGTAGCTTTATATGTGGGAATTAAGTTGGTTAAAATATGGGAAAAGCAAAACTGGTGGCAGGGAAGGAAGGAGTGATGGAGTAGAATACAACAAACTAAACTGGGAAAAGAAATGGAGATTTCAAAGAAGAAAAAGGAGGAAAAAAAAGAGATGGAAAAGGTGATGATGAAGATTAGGAGTCAAAAGGGTGGAAGAAAGTAATTATGGAAAGGGATGAAGGATGGGACTTTTGGTGGGCGGGGGGAGTCAAAAGTTGAAGTGATGCAGTAGGGGAATTGGAAGGCAGTGAATGATGTGTTCTCCCACAATGCCACAGTGGGGAGCAGCAGCCAGACCATCATCAATGGACCACCAAAGATATGCCTTAACAATCTTTATATCTCCCCAGATTCTCTCCACATTTATTTCCCATACAATGTTTAACTTTTCGTTAACCATTCTTCCACAATCCTCCATTTCATCTCTCCACCCACATTTTGTGCTTCCAATTTTAGTTATTAATTTAATGTTGCCACCCACACCCACTTTTCCTTTTACAGATTTATATATTTCTGAATGCAGGATGACCACACTGTGAGTGATGGTTTAATCATATTGTTGTTGTTCTCCATCCACAGGTTGGTCAGTGTCGACGTAATTTTTTGTTTTCTATTTTCTACTATTTGTTTTTATCTGAGCTGACTGAACAAAAACTTCTCCCGCAATTGTCCGGAGGATAAGTAAAATCTAATTTTCTATTATGGCGTTCTTTTCACATCTATTGTCAATCGAAGATTTTAGTATTAACGAGAAGAAAGCTTCACACAAGCTCTTTCGTAACATAATCATGTGTAAACAAGATAGCAAATCTACGATGTAGACACTGGATAATTTAAAGAAAACAAGAAAGAATACATGTGCAAGCATCTCCAATTGGTATGTATGTCATCAAGGATCAGATATTGCCTAGATATTGAGATTAGAATCTTCTAAATTAACTTACCGAGATATATGCCATAAATTACTGATTTGAAGCAAGTGTGTGTGTACAAGTAAGAACCGTTTTAAGTATGAATTGTTGAATTTGAATTGCATAGAGTGAAGCTTTATTTGAACTGCAGATATAATTTCCCTCCTAAATTATTTGTTTTTATTTAAAAACTACCAAAACTTATGTGTTTCTCAAATGAAAAAAAGTAAACAAAAAAAGTTGCTAAACGAGCTAATTTACATGATGTAGTAGATACAGGATTTAAATAGTATGCAAAACTTTATTTTACTACATGAGAACAGTTAGAAAAACTCTGTGAAAACGTTCATGTTCAAACTTTACGATGAGTTCAAATATAATCAATTTAATCACGTGATTTTAGTATCTTGGAAACTAACAGTCAACATTCACTTATTATATATTCCTTTAAAATTTAGTTGTTTAAAAGAGACATTAGATGTTACAATAAAACATTGGATTAATTTATCAATACAAATTTTAAATGAAGTTTTCTAAATATATTTAATAATTATCAACTCACTCCAAAATACAACGTTGATACATGTATATTTAATAAAATGTCAAAAGTAACTCTACTGTAAATTTACCAAACTATAATAATCCCTATAAAATAGTATAAAAATAGGAAATTAATTTGCAATGTATGATTATGAAGAAAAAGTTTCCAGGACGTGTGACGTGATGAATATAAGTTTAAGAGATCCACGCGGATTTCAGTATATTCCAGCTGTCTATAGCCCTTTGTACATCTGACCTCGTGACACTAGAAAGAACTTATACTTCAGCCATATATGTAATATTTGTTTATTCGTATTGCCAATCTCAATTTCATGAGAAACCATTAATGGAAAATGTCAATGGAAAATTTACCAAACGAGAGGGTGACATTTTCCAGAAAGATTTTGGCTCAAAATCATGACCCAACAAGCCGAACGAAGTGAACTTAAAACAACTGAAAAAACAGACTTGTTGATCCATCTCCGAAGGTCCGAAGATCAGCTGGTTTTACCAATGCCCTGCACAATGGGCAAGTCCGTTCTCTCTCAAACCTGAAAAACAAATGAATCTTAGTTGGATAAAGAGAACTGATCAATACGATTATGAACAAATACAGTCTAAATCAATCTTGTAGAAGTCAAAGGCATATATACATACTTATCATAGAAATAGTCTAAATCACTCTTGTGGAAGTCAACAACATAAACATTCTATCGATTTTTTAATAAAAGTACTGGACAACAAATTCGGGGGAATTAATAGATGTAGCTTATGGATAGACTCTCAACAGATAGCTAGTCCACCATAAACAATTGTCTACTATTAAAGTCCTATAGTTCATTTCTCTTAAATATGATGTAAGCTTTCAATTTATCCAAGAAATACAAAACTTACCATTCAGATACACACTCCTCGCAGAACATGTGTTTACAGCTCAACAATATGGGAGCCTGCATCTTCTCCTGGCATATAGCACACATGTCACCCGCAGCATTCACCTGCATTTACTTAGAATCACTTTAGAAAGGCTGCCTGGAAAAGATTCATCGACAAATCCCAATATTGGTATATAAAGAGTTTTTTCCTCAAATGCAGAAAATATCTCGTTACAAAGGAATAAATGAAAAATACAAAAGGAAAAACACAGTATCGAATACCAAAAGGTAAATAAAAAAATATATAGAATAAAAGTATGCCGAGCAAATCAAATACCTGTAGCTCTGCTGCTACATAATCATATCAAAAACCATTACCCAAGCACCATAAAAAGATAAGAACTTCTTTCCAAAAAAAAGCACAAAAAAAGAAACTTCTCTCTGAAATTTTAAACCTTATTTCCTACTTTGAAAACCCATAAAAACTGCAAACAAGGCACGACACAAAGATTATGCAGACTTTTCAGAATTCGCCCCAAATTAAGGAAGGGTCAAGATTTTCCCAAGACGCCAAAAGGGTTTTTTTAAGTGTTGGGTTCAACTTCATTTGAAGATATCATTGCTTATTTTATCCAACTTTAGAAGCTTTATAAAAACATTTATTTCCCCAAAAAAAACTGTTTAATGCACAAATATATGGAGGATTTGAGGTAGGTAAACATGGGTATATGAAAGGGCAACCAGCTGCACAAGGCTTCCACTAGAGTGGTTTGGGGAGGGGTAGATGTGGCAGCCTTAGTCCTGATGCTAGCAGATTGGTTCCAAGATTTGAACTCGTGATTTTAAAGTCACAAGACAAACCTTACCATTGCACCAAAGCTAACCCTTAAAGGCGTCAACATTCATGGTAAATATAAAAATAGTTCACCAGACCAACAACTAGAAACTATGACATTGGGTGGTAAGAAAACCTACAGATCATCCCAAAAATACAGAAAATGTTTGTCCCCTTTCCTCTAATTTAATTTAAGACTTCAAATATGCTTTCTGAATAAAAGTGGGGGGAAATGAAGTGAACAAGCTATCATAAGGAACCACATTATCCAAAAAAAATATATGAACGCCATGAGGTCACATTGTATTCCGGAGTGGAGACAATGCAAGCATTTCCCATAGGCCATATCTATTTACTATTTAATTAGGGATTCGTGAATGGTTATATAAGCATAGTAGAAAACAAAGGGGAATAAGTTCAAAGAATGAAAACAGTATTTAATATCATTTTTACATTTGTTATTTAAATTAAAACATGAAAAGATTAGATAGAATAATGTTATGGTCAGATTGCTCAGCTGTGAAACAATGAAGATTTGAGGATTAGCATGTTTCCTGTCTTGATGATCTAGTTTATAACTATTTTGATTTCATATTTTCAAACGATTGACAAGCTTAGTATCTGTAAGAAACCCTAAACAACAGACCATTGGGCATATGTTCTCAAATTTAACATAGTTTATAAACATTATCATCTTTTTTCACTTTTTGCTAGAGGTTTGGAGTAAGGATGCCTTGAGGAATGGAACAGAACCAAGAGCAACAAACAGTTTAAAAATGTGAATATTGCACATGTCGGGACACATCCATCATGATTGCTGTCTGCACCACTGTACAATGAGTTCCTTCAGTTCAAGGGAGAGCTGCAGCCTACTATGCCAATTTCTCTAACTGGTATTCCTATTGCCTTCCTTTCACAGTGTTCCACCCTTGCCACAAATAAAATACCATGGCCATGGCAGTGCTTGGCATGGCAGGCAGAACATATACCATGGAAGAACCATGGCATGGTACTGTTGTTTGTCATAACTTATTAAGACTGCTTCTTACATAGCAGTCATGGAGGAAATTGCAGCCATAGTGAAAAAGTAGTAGTTTTGAAATGAACTTCTCCACATGAGACTAGAATTCTTATTTAAGAAAACATGACACCCACGTAACACCTAAACAATACATAAACCTGAACCATCTTCAATTCCTGTCCAATAGATCACTATCTCTGACAACCAGAAGTTGTTCCTAGCAATCACACAACTGACTTCAGGAAATTCTTGTTTCTCATGTAAAGAGATTGCCTCCCTCTCTTCTTGAAGGAATTCTAATCTCAATCTTCTACTATTTTTTTTTTTTTTTGGTTTCTTTTCTCTCATTTCTTTTCTGTTCTTTCTTTTTTATCACTTGTTTTTATGAATCATATTCCGTTTTCACAAATACACTGTCCTTGACATAAATTATGCTTTACAAATAAATTCAACTTTCTTATTTCTGAAATTATGTTCTCTGTGGAGACAGTAGTCTGTTCTTTGCATGCAAACATGATATACCACAGTTCTGTTTTCTTCCTATCTTTTGTTCTCTATTATTCATGTATTTCTTCTTTGTCCCCTTAATTTTATGAATTGCGATACTTTTGGTGGATTTTATTTCTTATATAATTCAAATTTATTGTTCTTTATATACATCATATTAGTTTTTTATTATATATAATATTCTGCAGTTTTTAGGGTGCGTATAGCTTCCCATCCTTCTGCTATAGTCTACAACACCATCTTGATCTTGAGAAAAAAATTAATGAATCACATTCATTTCACAATCAACATTGCATACTCCTTTCATTAAATTCTTAAATAGTAATGTTTACAAATATAAGGAGGCTAAACTTTCCAAACCAAAAAATGGCATACAGCAGTATCAATATAAATTCGTTGTAACAAAGAAGTGAGAAGCATTACTTATAATAGCAATTATATTCAGATTCAGACTTAATCAGAACATTTAAAAGATTGTTTACCTGTTCCGCTGTGGCATAAACCCCATAATGAACTTCCTTTTTTGATAACGCTTTTAAGGCAGAAACAAAGCATTGGACCTAATAAAAATACATAGAAGGTTGAATAAAATGGAAAATTTAGGTTTATGGACAAATATTATTAAATACAACTCTATGAAGTAAATGCCAATTTTAAAGAATGAAAACATACCTTCTCAAGTACTGATGTTAGCTTGAAAGTTAAATACAATCCTGTGGTCAGTGAGGAAAACAGACTTCCATAATCTTTGTTCAAGAAAAATCGGTACCAAACTGGTGTTGGCAACAAGGCACGATACAGCAACAGAGTGTACTCAACCAGAGTTAACATTTGGCCCTTGAAACAAGTTAAATGCTTTCAGATGTTGGTAGGAGGAAACTATACGTGAAAAATGCTATAAGGCTTGTTAAAAAGTAAGGAGTCACTCAAACCTGCCGACGGAAGTTATGGCCTCTTCCATTTTTGTAGTAAATAAGCAATAAACACTTGAAAGCCATAGTTGCTTGTCGCACCAATGTATCTAAAAAGTCAAATGTACATTGTGACCATCAATTCCAACCAACCAAAAAACAAGATTTGCTACAAACAGAATTAGAATGAATATATATGCCAGGAAAAATACCAATATCAACAAGGAAATCCAAAAGTCATATTGATATAGCATTAAAGAGATTTACAAAGATACTACTCATTATTGGTGTTGAATAATATCTCATAATGCAAATAGGCAGTTACATTTATTCCTCCGAAACAACACTCAATGTAAGAAGACAAGTTAAGTATTGTGCAAACAGCCAAATTAGAGAGAGAGAGAGAGAAAAAAAAGGACATATCAAATACTTCAGAAGGACAAATATTTGAAGACCAAATATCTTGGCTAATGATTAAAAAATAAGAATACGTTAAATATAGTAACTCATTTAGGTTCCACCAAGGTTTAGCTGCATGGCAGACGGAAGTAAAATATGCAACTTAAAAATTCAGAGATATGCATCAATCCATCCACAATACTGACAGTAGCAACACAATTGATATTCTCTACAATTCATGTGACAATATCAATTCAAATGAAAGGAGTTGTGGGGGGGGCTACATGTTTTCAAGCTCAGCTCAAGCTAGATGCAAGATAAAACTTGCTTAACCTTTTAGAATAAGCAGTTATTCAAAGTAGTATAAGTGAGAATGTAAGAGTCATTGGCATATAAGAACTTATTTAAACAGCTAATCCAAAGGCACATTTGTGTAAAGAGTTTAATTAACACTTTCTTAGGAAAAAAACAACAATCACATGAGAACTTATATTGCAAGCACTTAATAAGCTTATTTTGATAACCTTCACCAGGAAAATGCATTGAAATAAGGTAAATGGAGATTATGAAGGATTTTAAGCACTTTTATAAGCCTAATCTTCCAACACCCCTGAAAGAGGCTGAAATAAGTGGATATATTTTGGGAGTTCAAAATTGGCCTCACTATGTTGGATCCCTGAACACGATTTCATTGGTGATAACACCCCCACCTCTCCTTCTTCCCCAGTTAAAAAGGGAGACTTGGTCTTTATCCAAAGAGGGAAATCAAGAAAAGAATGGTTAACATTTTTGGTGGATAAAACTTTAGGGTGATGAAGGCTCTCCCCTATTCAAAGGCCAAGGAGAAGTGGAAAACCACCAACCTGAACAAAGATATTCGATGAGATTATAGATCACCCACCAGCAAGGGACCCTAAAATTCGAACCCAATTCATGCAGTTTCCATAAGTAAATGGTTCACAAGGTAAGACAAACCCCATTAGCAACAAACCGTTAACATTATTTTGAAACAAATTTATTCAATTTTGGTTCAGAGTCGCTGATTAAATAAAAAGAGACCTTTTTTTGTACTTCAGTTCTTCCACACTTGATATATTTTCAAAATAGAAAGAATTATGAAGCATAAGAAAAAAGGAAGTCTTCAACTTCAACATTATTAATCAAGCAAATAACTCTACTGCTGTGTTAAGACCTTCAAGTCTCCTACACGTTAATCAAGTATCAACAATTATAACAAACTGCTTAGTTATTCACCAAGGAACCAGTTTTCTGTTTTAATCACATCACATGCTATAGATATAAGTTCATGTCTCTATATCCAATAGAGCAAATAAAACTGTAAAACATAAACAAAAAATAACAACAACGTAATAACTTTGCAGACAGAATAAAGCCATACCATTAACCAAAATGATGAATATTGTATGCCAGAAAGGTGGAGTTGTTTTTGGTGGAAGCATGACCAATGGGTATAAAAGATCATCATTTCGATACCACCAGTAAATGCATATGACAAGCAGCATGAAGGCAAAAGAGATACCAAGAAGAACAGAGCCTTTCCGATCTCCCTGCAAAAGAACTTGAATTGAGACTCTAATTTATTTTCAGGATAGGATTTTACATGTTGTTATTTCATTTAGGAAACGGAAATTGAAAAGGAATTGCAAAATCTGAGTATAGAACCTTCAGGGCTGTCTGCTTCTTAACAATTTCATTCGACTTGAACATCACAGCTGATATACATATTGTGACAAAGAATCCTGCAAGTATTATGTAGAAAGAGTTAATTCAAAAGTAGAAAATCAGAATAAACTGACAAGGTATGTGAGAGACAGTTTACTGCTTCCCAAGACAGTAGAATCAAACAATTCTTTCTCTAATTGGAAGGGATAAGAGGTTGCAAAGAAATAAGAATCAGTCAAGGACTCATGGTCACAGGGAAGATTAAAAGCAAGTAGCACAATATTCTTCATTAATAAAGATTTGATATAATCAACTAAGGATCAAAAAAGAAACAAGAGGAATCAACATAATCTCGAATTAACTGTAAACAAAAGACAGGCGCAAGCACAACCCACATGTTCCACACCAATTGTTTCAGGTAATCTTTTCTTTCACTATACCTCTTTCCTTGGCAAAAACACAGGGTATTGAAAGTCACCCGGAAGCCCACACTAGCTTTTCCTAGTTTGAACTAATAGTAAACTTTTATCAAGAAATAAGAACCAAAAATCAATTTAAACCAAATGGTTAGCTAAAAATTCATATCATCATAGTCACGCCAACAAGTCAAGCATATACAATCTCTCTAATATCTCAGCAACATAACTTGCTTCACCCCATCCTCAAACTCTAGCACATACAACAAATCGGAAACAATCCAATGGGTTGTACACGTAGTTCTCATTTAAGCAAAAAACCATATTGAGAGACAAAACTAAAAACCAGAAAGAAAGAGTACCTTGCAAATGCTGGCGGATGAAAACAATCAACAACAAGAGGGAAAACGGAAGAATCTGTTCAATCCACTTGGCAACCTGCTGAATATCATACCTCTGGTAGGTAGAGGAAGACGAAGAAGAATCCCTACCGCCACCAATTCCATCATCCAAAGACACCAACGGCACCCTATCCTCAGCCATTCGTCGGCGAGCCTCCGACGACAGCATCCCGCTTCTCCCAACCACCGTCTCCTCACAGCCCGGTTCCCCTCCGCGGCTCCTCGAAGACGACGGCGACGAACCGCTCTCTTGCTCGCCGGCCCCAATAATGCGTATTGCAACCTCCTCAGCGCCGCTGCACGCATTCTCGCCAGAATCAGAAGCCGAAGCAGCAGATTCGGCCGGAGCCTGAAACCGCGGCCGCGTGCGGGGAATGATGATCACAGGCTCCGCGGAATCCTCGCGCGTGCAGTAATCCATCACGAGAGAGAGTGGAGAACGGAACGGGAAGCTCATCCCGAGCCACGTGACAGCGCCACCACCGCTGGCATCGCTTCCAGATGACGACGACGACGACGAAGACGACGGCGAAGATTCCATATCGTCGAAACCCTAACCTCACCTACCTTATATTCCTTTTCCCCTACGGTGTTCTCCGATCACAATTCAAACTGCATTCGTTTTGCGTTGCGGATAGCGTTTGGATTAGGTTATGTAGCGCCAACGAAGGGATGAAGATTGATGAACGAAGAAAAGAGAGATACGTAAATGAAGACAAACATGGCGAGAGAGGGTTAGAGCGTGAAGAGAGGGTTTAATATGAACGTGGATCGTGCGATGCGATGCGATGGAGATACATAGCGGAAGCAGAAGAGGGAGAGAGGAGAAAAGTCAAGGTCACGAAGCTGAAACCTTCTCTTTCGATAATTTTTGTGTGTGACTGTGTCGGAGCGTGTGTGAGAGGTTGACATTGATGAATGAATGATGATGAATGAACGAACGCGTTTCATTGGATATTATTATTATTATTGTTATACTTTTCTTTCCTTCCACCTTCCGTTCCAACGGATCCCGTCACCTCTTTTCTTTTTCTTTTTCTTTTTTTTTTCTTTTTTTATTCTCCGTTATTAACTTATTACTGCGTTGCTTATCTGTTTTCGTTAGATTATTGGTAATAATGATTCGAATTTGAACAAGTTCTAGTCAGATTCTCTTGCTAATTAAATTTAAACGTTTCTGTAAACATAGTTCTCTTTTTTATGAAAAAACATAGATAATTCTACCTTTTTGTTTTTTTTAATAATTTTTAACCTGTTAAATCCGAAATTAAAAAGTCCAACATAATATATTTGCTTTCAAAATTATTTAGAGTTATGCCTTAGACTAAAAATGTGTAAATATTTTTCATGTGACCTAAAAGTTATAAACATAGGTTGGGAATTTATCCACTACTTCGAAAAATTGTAAACGTCCTTGTTAAGGTTACAATAACTAGTAATATGGTTTTAAGGTTGATTAGAAAATGCGTAATTGTAAAATAAGATTAATAAATTAAAACAATTCTTTTTTTTCTTTTTTTTTATCCTTTTTCAAAATGCCTCATTTACATTGGTTTTACTTGAGATTGATATGAACTCCTTATTTATTACTAAACAATTGAAATATTATCAGAAGTACCAAATATATTAATTCCAAAACCTCATCTTCATGTAAATAAAATATATGTTCATATTTACAAAATGTACCGTTTAAAATGACTTGAATAACTTCAAAAGCTCCAATAATTTTTTCTGTGTAAATAATAATATTTATGCTTATTTATTGAATGTGATGGGATCTCATTGTTTGAAACTCATTCATTTTTAATCACAATCCTTTCATCCTTAATCATGAAGAACACGGATAATTCACCAATCTAGCTACCACCACTCTTTAAATGTCAAGTCTAAAAGACATTACTTCTAACTTTAACAATTCATAATCAAAAGATTTACAACTCCAACCATCAAGTTTCAAATACCCTTATCAAATAATCAATGCAAGTTTTTTTTTTTTATGTCTTCATTTAAATGGGATTCAAGTGTTCTTTTAATCATCTCACAAATATGTATTTTTGTTTCAGAGAAAAAAAGAGAAAAAGAGAGAGTTGATGATAAGATATAAAATTCCTACCAACCATTTCCTCCTATAAACAAAAATAATCTCCCATAATCACTTTTTTTTTCATTTTTCAACACACATTCTTTAAGTTTGTATCAAAATAATTAATATACATAATATCTTATTTAAAACCCTCGCCTTCAACTTTGTTTATTATTATACATAGAAAAAAAAACTTTACATTTTTCTTACATAATGTTTTCATAAAAATATATAATTAATATTAAAAATATTGTATGATTTTTATTTACAAGCATAATATTGCTTATTTTCTGAGTTTGAACACGAAGTGACAGCGGCACCGCCTCAGAAGTTATCACAAAGGTTTTGCCACTAATTATGTTCAATTAACCACGTTTGCGCCACGGCTACGCCAACCGTAATAAAAAGAGACCCGCAATCACCGCACGAACTAAAACCAAGAAAAAAAATGTTGGCATGCAATAAAACAAATCGATAAAAAACCGGCCATTATTTTCTGACAGCCGCGATAGAAACGAATCTTTCGATTTTTTTTGTGCTTGTTTTTATAAACATTTAGAGGGTCGAAGTTATTTGGTGGCAGAGAGAGAGAGAGAGAGGGAGAGAGGGAGAGAGAGAGAGGAGAAAAGAATATGTTTCAAGTTCCCAAGTATATGACATGAATGAAATGGAACATCTTAGCATTAGACTAACCAACGTAACATACACACGTGATACTACGTGCAGATTACAATCCTTGCCCTAAACATGACAACTATCTCATAACTCTTCTCAGTTTCAGCAAAACAAACACGAACACCATTACCCCATCCACTTGTCTTTCAGCTTCCGTAACTCTCTCAAAGCTTCAACGGGAGACTTGCACCCTACTTTCTCCTGCAGAGGTTTTTGCATTTGTAGAACAGAAAAATGAAAATGTGTCGTGCCACAGTACTTGTTTTGTTATCATTGCAATAATAGAGACATTAAAAGGCATCCCCTTAGGACATCTTTTTCCTTGTTACTTCCTTCTGTTAATTTGTATTCTCTTGTATATGCATATATATACCCTTTTGAAGAGTGAGTGAGTAGATGGGGACAAACCTGAATCTCAGGTAGGCCAACCCTCATAAATGGGTTGGTTTCCATCTCTTCCTCAATGGTGGAGGGAGTTGTAGGTTGGCCAGCATGGTTCTGATTCTGAGCCCATGTTAATTTCTTCTGTATCTTCAAGTTATCTGGCTCAATTGTCATAGCAAATTGCAAGTTCTTCACTGCGTACTAGAAAGACAACGAATTCAAACCCTTATAATGTAGTAAACTTAAGAAAGAGGCACAATACAATTGTACAAACGGTTTGGTATAAATGCACCAGTTATTTACATTCATCAAATAAGGAGTATCTAGAGAAACCACTTATTTTTCAAATTATAATTATGCAGCTTGCTATTAATTGGACCACTCAAGCCCCTGTGTTAGGATCTATGGATTGTTATGCTTAAGGATTCCCGCAAATTATCCTAACTCTTAGCCAGAGATCAAAGTCTCCAGTTAGCACACGAAATAGACTGACTCTTGCATCAAACAATAGCTTTGGAAACATGAATTACTGGTCTTAACTTCATCCCTAGATTTGTAACATACATCTAGTGCCAGTAGGCCTAGTCTTTCTCAACTTCAAGAGTCTACAAGTATGGCCTAGCCATCACCAAACAATAAATTTCACAACCAACCATTCCTATAGGTTGGGTCATACTTTACATCCAAACCATGTTCATGTGATTCATAAATGAACCATGATGCTCAGAGAGTTCTTGGAGAGAGGATTTTAGTACTATAATACCTCATGTCCACAATAAACTCGGGTTGGCTTTGGCAATGAACCTAATGTTACACAAAGTGATTGATACATCTGTTCTGCAGTTCCTTTAAAAAATTTCCCACAACCAGCAATAAACTGTAGAAAAAGCAATGACAAAATAAATCAGGATTTAAAGTAGGACTTGTTCATAATTCATACACATAAAAACACTCATACAGAGAAACAAAAAGGTAAGTCATATACACTCTACAAGCACTTGGCATAGCTTTTTTAGTCAATAACACATTGTATTTTTTTCCAATAACTATATCTTTTGGACATGTTCCTTGAGAACTCTAAAATGAAAGAGGTAAAAGACTGATCATCAGTCTGCTTACTAGTGTATCTCCAGTAAAAACAGCTGGTTGCTCCTCCTCTTTGCCAGTAACATAATAGCTTATGTGACCTTTGGTGTGGCTGAGCAGGTCAGGAAAAGGGTTAATGTCAAAAAAGAGAGGGAACTATATGTCAAGAAAGCGTGAAATTTAGGTTCAACCACATCAGGAATCATCAGGCAACATGTATTTAGTAATAAGGATTCCAAATGACAAAATTAAGCAAGCAGCAGTAAAAAATTCACATTGATCAATCAGTGTGCATCGTTATCAAGTTGATGAGGTTTTCAAACCTTTCCATATTTACATTATTTCACACAAAATGAAGGAAAGACCACAAAATTAGGTAGGGGAAGTAAATCCAAACTTTCCATTACTCCATTTCAGAAGGCTGGGTGATAAGAAAATCCAAACTCTCCATTGTTAGGTAGGTGAATTGACAAGTTTAATAGACATACCAAGGTGTGTGAAGAGACAATATATTAATATCAGCCCCAAGGGACACCTTACCCCCATTTTCAACCTTATCAGTGCAACCCTTGACGTTATCCATCGAACCACCATAGACTCTAATTCCAGGCACCAATTGCTTTATCTTTTCATTTCCGCGAGCATGATCCCTGTTATAATGACACAAAACTTAAAAACACAAGCATAACCAGTCAAGATCTGATGATCATACCAAGCACAGAAGCGTAAACTGAGCATCATTTCAAAAGTCTAAAAAAAAAAAATCTATTAAGAAAAATGCACCAAAGTACTGAGATTTTAAACAATAAATGAATATTTATACTCGCTCTGACTTCTACTAGTATATGAAAGAAAGTTACTAAGCCTAAAAAATATCCTAAATTCAACACGACCAACCAAAATAAAACTATGGTAAAAAAAAAATGAAGTAGAAACTTGTTAGCACCCATGATGATGTGTGGTGAGAACGAGCTTGAGATTGACCCCATGCGAATTGGCAGCTTTGATAACCTTCTCAGGTTCTACAGGGTCTACCACAGCACCTTCTTTCGTGCTCTCGTCAACGATTCTACAGAAGCGAAAAACCAAATAATAATAACAATAATAAACAGTGAAGCGTGAAGAACTAGAATATGCATGTGCGTTTATGTTAATTTTTGTAGAACTGCATGCACAGAACAACTATATAGACCCACAAGTAGGAATAATTGTCTTGCAGAGAAGGAACGTGATAGATTTTCATGGTTGGTTTGTTACAAATTGTGTTTTTGTGTGCAAGTACTTTAATTTTAGGAGCGACGAATCGTTATCACTATTCACTACACACAAGTGTAGCTTCAGGTTCTTTCTAGTTGAGTTTTAGTTTAATGCGAAACAGAGTGTGGTGGAAGAAGAGGACGGATGCAAACATACGTTGCTAAGTTGGTTTGATCATAAACTGCCACGCACCTCGGACGTGTCAAACAATAAGAAATGTAAGTAACGTGCTTGTATTTTGGTTATGTAAAATATGTAATGTTTTTCGTTTTTAGTCTTTGTGTTTCAATTTTTAATCTTTATATTTAATAAAAATTATGTTTGTTACATATAAAATTGTTAATTTTTTATTATAAAATGAAAGGTTCAAATCGGCGTTAAAACATAAAGTTAAAATTTATCAAATTAAAAATATGTTTTGAGATTGATTTTTTTTTAAATAAAGCATATTAAATAAAATAAATTCTATACTTTATTTTCTTTTATATCATTCTTAAACAACGCAAGTGCTGAATTTTTTATATTTTATTTTATTAGTATAAAAATATATTTGTTTGACCATGCCTTGAGCCGCAAGTATAAAAGTGTAGAAGAAAAGAAGTAGAGCGTTCTTTAATATTATTTATTAATATATTCTGAAATTTATACGATCCTCCCTGTGGATTTTATTTCTTAATGACTGGCGTCCTTGAAAGAAAATGAAGATAAAATAGTATATAATAATAATAATAATAATAATAGTAATAAATATATGTGTTTCGGTGGAATTTCGATCGATTTCGATTCTAAGGCTGTTTTGGTCCTAATCAAAATTCTACCACGTAAGCTCTTTTTACTTAGGCTAGCAATTTGATTTTCAATCGAAAACGTGTATGAGAATCGAAAACTCTAGGATATCGAGAATGCTATTTTTGGTGTTTTGTATTTAAAGTATCGAAAACATTAAGACTATCGAATCGAAAAGCAGAATATTAAATTGCGAGGAAATGTAAAATGCGAGGAAATGTAAAATGCGAGAAATCGAAAACAACTCAAATATAAATGACAAGAAATCAAGATTGCAAGAAAAGTAAATGACAGGAAATTAAGATTTGCAGAATGTTAAATAACAGGAAATCTAAATGCAGAAACTCAAATTTTCATTGAATTGAAATGGACAAGGAATCGAAATACAGAAACATAAAACTGTTGAATTTAAGTTGCATCAAAGTAAATTACCAAGGAAAATACAGAAAGCGATAAATGTACTCAGTGAGCAAGGAAATCCAGACTGCCAGAAGCTTCATGGTGTTTGTCGTTTCTCCGGTAGACTTTTCACTACTGATCCTGTTCTCTGCCAATTTCTGCCCCCTCCTCCTTTCTCCTTTGCTCTATTTATAGGACATCCTTCAAGCCTTCCAATAGCAGTTAACGCGACTGCTACCACGTTCTACGTGCGTATGGCAGTTTATCTTCTATAGTTTCCCACGTTCTCACGATCTCCGACTTTTTTCCATGATTTCAAAACTGCTCACTATACGTGCATTCGACTTACTTCCCTTCACAATTTGGCCAAAATCTCGATGTCCACATTGGCTTTCTTTACTCTCGATTCGGTTTTTTTTGAGAACTTCGAATTGCTCACGATTCCTTTCTAACCCTGGTCTTATATGACTTAGTTTTTATTCGACAACAGTCATTTGATTATAATTCATTCGATTCTCGATTATGTTTCTCGATGCTATATGCTACGTATTTCTAATTAGACATCGAATGAACCTTTGTTTATCTTATCGGGTCATATTTCTCCTCTTTGATTTCGATCGCTTTTCTCGATTTGCCACTAACAAAATGCCCCCTTGGAAGAATATAAATGATTTCTGTTTTATATTCTTTCAATATTCCCGCCTTAGTGTTTGAAAACCCACAAAGTTTAGGGTTTAGGGTTTCTGGGGTTCTAGGTTAAGAGGGGTTTTAGGTTTCTTTCCCTCTTTACGTCGCCATCATATCAGTCTGCTGCTTTCGCAGTACGCTGCATTTATTACCTTTCACCTCCGTCGTTCCATCTCCCTATACGATTTCCCCTTAACCTCTCAACCTATCTTTACTTTGACTTTACGCGAACTTTTATCCTCTTTTGCAATCTTGTCTTCTTCCCTGAGCTCTTGCCTTCGTCTCTGTTACCTTACCTGTCAACTTCTTCCTTACTACTTCTCTAACCTTACTATAATGGCCTCTTCATCCAAGTCATCTTATTTCTCGGCTCCTCCTCTTACCTCATCCGCTTCTACCTTGCTGGAGATTAACAACCAGCAGTTTGCTCCCTTGCCTCTGATGGAGGAGGCCTCCAAAAGGATTGCTGAAACTCAGATATTAGTTCCTTACACTGTTGGTGGGGTTGGTTTTGGTTTTGGGGGCCCTATTCTTTCTGGTAGTGGAACCGTTTCTCCCCTCGCCCTCTCAAACAGCCCTGCTCTCGTTCATCAGCCCGAAGTTAGGATCGACTTTTTGAACTTTGTTTCCAAGGTGTATAGGACAGGCCCTCCCTCCAAAAAATCTTTGTTCACTAGATGGTTTGATAGGGTCAAGGCGAAATTTGGGAACCATTGGAGGAACGTGGGGATTTTTTATTTTCTACACTTGTCTCAATGTGACCTATCCTACCTCGACATGGCTATGTTCCTGGCTGCCGTGCACTTGTGGAATAAAGAGATACATGCGTTAGAATTACCTTGCGGTCCCCTCTCACCTACTCTTCTCGATGTTGCAGCCATCACTGGGTTAAAACCTATAGGGGAGAGATACTTTCAGGGTGCATGTCCCTCGGATAATTTGTTGAAGTCAAAACTCGATTGGGAATCGAAGGCCTACGGGCATTTTATTGAGAAACATTTCGTTGATGACCCTTCAATAGATGTTATTGATGAAGAACATGTAGCGTTTTTGGTGTACTGGCTGTGCACCCAAGTGTTTTGCCCCCGATCGATCCAAATTTCCCCCCATTTTTTCAACCTTGCGTATCTCCTTCACTTAGGTCAACCTCGCCTATGTTTGACCAAGCTTTTGTTAGCACATGTATATACCGCTTTCGACGAGGCTGTTGAAATCTTAAGTACTCCTAAGGCATCGGGGAATTTTTCTGGCCCTGTTTGGTTCATACAGCTATGGTTAACATCCATTTTTGAGAGCATCCTTCCTCGATATTCTACTGTCCCCCTGAGTGTAAATATAGAAGGGGCTCGATTATCCTCCCGTCACCCTCGCTATAAATCTGACGAAGCCACATATTGTAAATACCTCCAATTTTTATTAACCAGATTTGTTTTCGATTCAACCCTGGCCCCGTTTACTGTAAATTTTAAGCGGGTAAGTGACCAACTTAGGGGACCGATCTGGTTCAAGTCAAGATTTCCCGCCTCAACCCCTGGGTTACAATTAGAACTGGTCGATATATGGAGTGGCTATTTGACCCATGATGTACTAGTATCGGGTTTCCACCCCAGGGATTTCAAGTTCGTTACTTACTACCCTCAGCTTTTTTCCAGACAGTTTGGCCTAAGCCAGTCTTTACCCTTTTTTCCTTTAAATACCTTCCCTAAATCCAAGTTGACTGACTCGAACATCGGCCGAGAGCTTGCTAAATTTTTGCCAAGACCCTCGATGCATTTTTACCCATATGCATTTGAGTCAAACTACTTATCGACTGTGGAATTTTCTCAATGGTGGACCAATTGGTTTTCGAGTAATCGTGCTATTTTTGATGAGGTTCGACAGAGACTGACTGCTCATCCTTCTCTTGTGTTGCAGGACAAATCGAAGGCGAAGAAAGGTAAACACTCCCACTATCTCCAAATAACTCGATTCGAGCATTTTTATCAAATATGTTACAACCCATTGAGATTAGAATCGACCTTTTATGACGCTGTCATTTCCCTGTCTCACAAAACCACCACTAATCGAATCGATCGCAAAACAATCAATCCCTTAGGGAAGACCCCTTTTGAGATATATTGTCCCAATCGCCTTCCTACTTTTCCCAATGCTCCCTTTGGAGTTGTCAAACCTTTAACACATCCTAAATGGGTTCGAGAACTGAGAACTTCGAAAGAAACGTTACATCCCAAACCCAAAAACAAAGATATTACTGTGTCGAGACTATTTTATTTCCCTTACCTTAACCTCCCCGAAGCTTTCCCGCCTCCTTGGCTAGTACATATCGACCGAGTCAAAATTTTGACTCCATCACCTTTTGGTGAGGTTTTATCGTTTTTCCTTAATTTTCGATTCTCGTGTTTCGAAAATTAACTATCTTCATTCCTCGACAGCTTGCAAAATCTACCAAGGTAGTCGCTTTCGAAAAGGTGCAAGAGAAGGAGAAGGAAACAAGCCGGGAGTCCCTGCACGAATCGGACCCTCCGGCCTTTACTAGGAAGCGAAAACAATCGGCCACCGCCACTACTTCGTCTTCGAAAAAATCGAAGGTACTTTTTGATCTTTTTTGTCTCATTCGTTTTTCTGTTTATAACATGTTTCTTTATGGCTTCTCACACTTCTTTTTCGATTTCTACCCTACAGAAAAAATCGAAGAGTCCCCGACCAGTCCAACCATCCACAGCAGATCCATTATCGATGGATTCTAACACCGTTCCCTCCACGGGTCAAACAACACCCGTCACTCATTCTAGTCACGTGAGTTTCCTTTTTCTCTCATTTCTATGTTTTAGATTTTGATAAGACTTGTATCATGACCCATATTTTCGATAAAATTTTTAGGATAATCCATCGGCGACCATATCGACAACTGTCGAAACTCAGCTTCAGCCTTCAACACCGATCCCTGAGGTGTATTTCTTTTTTACTTGTGTATACCTCTTTTGACTTGCTTATTTTTCTTTTTTCTAATTCTCTTTTTCGATTTACAACAATCTGAGGCTGTACAGAGTCCTCCTCGTGCCTCGATGCCGCTTGCTCTTCCTCCACCTGGTATTTTCCTTTTTTCTTTCATCA